TGCCAATCTTCCTCTATTTTGCATGTGGGATGCTGCCACAGCACGGCTGCCGAGGAGTGGTGCAGGTCCACGCCCTGGAACCGAACCGGGTCGCCCAAGCAGAGCACACTGAACTTAATGATTAGGCTATGGGGCTGGCCCAACAAATATTACTTTTTAATATCTGCTTTTGGCCAGGTACTGTGTTGGGTGTTGGGAATACAAGGATAAATGACAGAAAAAACACAGTCTCTTCCTTGAAAGGGCTCACAGTTTATCTTCTCCATAGTGCTGGAAGCGTCTGGGTCAAGGCTACATGACCACTCAGGGATATTGGAGAAAGAATTATTGATCTGGGAGTGACTTCATGCCCTAAGTTTATAGATGCTGATTCCTTATGATGGAATAGACATATTTCTAAAATGTTGGCATAACAATAGATCTCTGGAAAGTAAGCCACTGGTGTATTATGAAATTTGGTTGTGTACTCCAATGAAGGAAAAAAAATGGAGCTTCAAATGGAATAAAAATCGTATGGATTAAGCAGCTTTTAAAATATAAAATGGCCATATCCTAAAAAAATGTTATCAAGTTACAAATTTAGCTATTGTACTAAAGCATCACATATTGTGCCAGAAATTTCATTAGCTTGAGGCAAGATTCGGAAGAGAAAAACGTGCTCTTGGCAGCTACAATGACATGGCTGAGAGAATCTAGATCACAGCCAGTGTTCCTGGGTTCAGATCCTGGCTTGTCACTCATTACCCATGTGTTTTGGACAAGTTACTCAACCTCTCTGTGATTCACTTGCCCCATCAGTAAAATGGGATGATATAACAATAGGAACCACTTCAATAGAGTTGTTATAAGGATTTAGCAAGTTAATCCATGTAAAGAACTGAGCACAGTGTCTGGCACATTGTCTGGCAATCCACAGATGTTGAATTATTTGCACTTTAAAGTATGGGCTTAATCTCTACTAAGGTCAGTAATCCATCTTGTAACACCAATCTTCTGCATTCCACCTGAAGGGATCTATCTTCTGTGACAACTCTTTTTCACCTATACACTAATTCCGGTTAGGAATACTGGTGTAATTGCATTGTATGCTTTATAAATATTACAGTAACTTCTGACTTATCTTACTAACAATTGAAAGTATTCAGTAGTATTAAAAGTTTCATTATCCTATTTTATGATTTCATCAATGTGGATTTTAGTTTAATTTAGTACAAAGTAAGTGGTCAAAAAATACAGTACAAATAAACCTATTTAAGCAATCTTCTAGTATGTTAGACTGATAGGCTGGAGATAGAAAAATGAAATGCAAACTTCTTTACTAAATATTGGCTGAAGTACTACAGTAACCTACCTGTTCTCATTAAGCTCTCACCAAAATGATGCTGGTCAAGGCAACCCAAGGATTCTTTTCCCACTTTGTCTATTACTCACCCTGCAGGATTATCTCCTAATTTGGTTAAGATTAACTCCTAATTTGGTTCTTTGATTTGGGTGGTATTTTTTCTTTATACTTTAAAAAAATTATTTAAAGCTGCTTACCATCAAATATACAAATAGAATAAGACTGATTAAAATGTTTAAAAATGAGAAGCACTATATGAAAATTCTAGGTTAGTTTTTACAGTTAAACATACTGCTACAGCTTCTTAACAACCAAAGCAGAAATAAAAATATACTGCAATTGCTACCGCAGGATTCACATGTCAACAGAAAGAATTTTCACGGCAATAAATTCAGAGAGGTATTTATCTAATGTTTCTTTAACCTAAGGATATGGATCTATATAAGAAGTGATATCTTCAACAATATTTTTATGGAGGATGCAGAAAATTAGTAATGATAGTTTATGTTTATTATGTATTTACTGTCTACTAAAATAATCTTTTACAAATACCATGAATATAATTCTAAAACTTTTAGTGGAGCTGAGACTAGAATATTGATTTTCAAATATCTAATTCAGAAATTTTCCCATCTTTTCCACTATACTATCCTATACCTATCATATATGGAACAGAATTTGACCTTAGAATTACACACACACATACATTTGCACACAAAAATGCACGAACATATGTGTAAAGCTTCCATAATACACACACTACATATACACACATACATCTCTGCCAGTACCAACAATCCTACTGAAATAAGAGATGCGTCCATTCAGTAAATAAAAATGATTCCATCAATTAAATTATTAAATTCTCGCAGCATCTGTCAAGCTGATGATTTGCTACATTTTGTGTTGGTTATCCTTGTCTATTTCTCATGGTCCCTCAGGTCATGAATTTTTATTTCATGATTTCTCTTCCAAACACTATGCATCAGTCAATGCCCAGGGTACAAAAATAAATAAATAAAATTGAGCCGACAATAAAAACAAATCTGGGATTTCAATTTAACACCAGCCATCAAAGCTACGTATCAATATACCAAAAAATAGAATTTGTTCCTTTTCTCCTTTTAGAAATGTACTCAGCTCTAAATGCTAAAAAAAATTTTTTTTTTTTGGAAGATCAGCCCTGAGCTAACATCTGCTGACAATCCTCCTCTTTTTTGCTGAGCAAGACTGGCCCTGAGCTCACATCCGTGCCCATCTTCCTCTATTTTATATGTGGGACGCCTACCACAGCATGGGTTGATGAGTGGTGCCATGTCTGCACCCAGGATCTGAACCTGTGGACCCTGGGCCGCCGAAGTGGAACGTGTGAATTTAATTGCTGCGCCACCGGGCCGGCCCCTAAAAATAATTTTATTAGGTACATTAAAACATGAGGCCTAGATGAAAAACAGCAGGCCTCTGGGGTGTAGTAATATCATTCGCTTTCAGCCCATCAGAAAGAACATCAACAAACACATTGTTGACACACTTAGAAAATCAGGAAACTGACAACCTGTTCTTTTTTTCTATTAGTTATCTGAAAAACCTGAATGAATACACTCATAGGCTAAATTGCCTTAAGTTATTTTAGATTTAAAAAATTTGGATGTAACAAGTTATTCTCTTAGTGCAAATCAACTACTGAAAATGCATAGAAACCGAAGGATTACTTCCAAGTAACTCATTCAGCAATTCCCCAAATTGTGAGCCTACGATACTCCCTTCCCCAACTTTGGGCCAGCCAAAAAGTCTAAATTAGTGGTTCTTCAAGTGTGGTCTCCAGAGCAGCAGCCACAGCATCAGCTGCTGCGAACTTGTTAGAAACACAAATTCTTGGGTTCCACCGAGACCTACTGAATCAGAATCTCTGGGGGCGGGGTTTGATGAGTTCTCTAGGTGATTCTGACGCTCACTAAAATTTGAGAACTGATCTGAATGAAGGGCTCCTCAAATTTTTTTTCCTTTGCTGCCTCAGTTCATTCCTAAGTCACATCCTCATTCTTAATTATCAACTCCTGCTGCTTTATCATAAATCTAGTCATTGAAAATTACACTCAAGCATGGTGGGTGTAAGTAAGGCTGCTCCGTCAATCACTACTGTCTTGTCTCAACAGAAAAACATCTGTGGATTCTCTGCCCTTTCCTCAACCTTCACTGTTCTTTCCACAGCTGCAGCTGCTGCACACAGTGGGGATGTGCAGCTTTCCAAAGATCCATCCAATTGGCAATTAAGACTGCTCGACCCATCGGTCCCAGTTATTCTCCACTAACCACTTGTATGTGTATGCCCATGCACCTCATGTTGCCCATGTCACAGCCTCTCTGCCAATTTGCCATGTGAACCTGCTGCTGGTGGCTGCTGAGTTTCCCCCTGTGGATGTTTGGGGCCTTGCTTAATCGAGGATGGTGGCCCATGGTACTATATGACCTTGGGTCCACTCTGCAATGGATGCCTGTCTCACAGAGAAGCCTGGGCTTGGAAGGCAATTCCTTAGGAGGAGGAGGGTCTGGTATTCCAAAGGGTAAGCTGGTGATGGTCAAAACCTAGCACGTAACGGATGCATCAAATAAAGAACCAGAGAGCAGCTTGGTTTTTAACAGTCATTTGCATTGGAGGGAAATGAGGCAGGGCATCCTGAAAACTGTCTCCTGGTCTTCTTGGTACCCAACACTGACTTCCACTTGGTTGGCTCCTTTTCCTGTCTCCAAAAGTCACATTGCTGTATTTGGGCATGTCTGAAGACCATGAGCTAGGTAGAGCAGAAACCTTACTGTCCATATGCATTTAGTTCATCATAATATGGACTTGTGTAAATGTAAATAACTGATTAAATTCTAATAAGTTTTTGACAACTTATATCTCATAATAATGAAACTCTATTTGTAACATGTCACTAATTTCAAGTGGATTACTTCTGTTACATTTCACAATGCTGAACAAATCTTTCATTCTACCTTTTTCTATTACTAAAACGCTCAATTAATAAGCCCCCTTGGTAGTGGACCTGGCACGTGATGCCGCTATGGGAAAGCTGAAGAGAAATAGTGAGTCCAGCAGAGACCCAGGGACTGAAGAAGCCTCCCTGGCCTAATTTGCACCAGCTATAATTTGCTGCCTTCTCTACAACCAGAAAAATAGTTTATGGTTCTACATTATGAGACTCTCAGACCCTTCAGAACACTCCCCTGGGGGCTCATTCCCCAGTGAGAAGAGTCCTGAACCAACACTACTGTCATTTTGAATTAGTGCTGGCACGGAGCATCACAGCCAACCATTCTTCTCCACGTTGGATTAAAACAGGTAAAGTGGGAGGAAGTGCTAAGGTCACTATATTTTTTAAACACCTTTGCAGAAAAAGCAAGGCCAATTCCCAAGTACTCAATAAATAAAGACTAATTCTTAACAAACAATAAAAGAGAGGAAAGCTTATCTCAGAACAAGCTGTTATTTCACTAAAAAAGCAGAAAAATTGCTAGCATCGGTATTATGTGCTGCTTCTTTAATACAGCTCCTCTCATTAAAGAGGAGGTTTTATTCTTTTCCCCTAGAGAGAACTTGATCTTCCTTCTCACTCCCACAAATCTCTCGCAGGAAATGTGTTTGTTTTTTGTTTACCTCCTTCAGATCCTGCACGACGGCCGTGAGCCTCTCATTTTCTGCCTGGACGTTGGTGACCACAGCCCGGCTCTGTTTCAGTTCGTTCTGCATCTCCAAGATCTTCCCCAGATAGTAAGCTTCCTTTGAGGCTGACTCCTGCAGAAGTGTTTCCTCCCGAGTCTCCCCATCCTCCGCGACTTTCCGGTGGATGGAGAAGGACTGCCCAAAAGCCTGCAGAGTATTTGAAAAGAAAGAAGAGCGCACAATGAAACGCACCACAGCACTCCAAACAGACTTAGGAAAATGTTTTGTTTCACGTTGTTTGTGAGAAAAACTATTCTGCAAGACCTCTCGAAGCCAAAAGCACATATTTTATGGAACAGTCCAGCAGCTCTCAATGATGCTTGAAATAATTCAAATTCTACTAATAAGGAGAAAGAAATTTTTAAAATATCTTACTAAAAATATATACAATGGGGTTGAAGAAAACTTGAAAACCATTGCTGCTTCTTTACGTAACCATGATTCAGACAAATCTTATTAAGGAATAGACAGTTCAGTGGTAATGAGCTCATCAAAATTCATGTTGTCATTTTCATTCTACAAAGAAAACCTCCAAAATATTTTTCAAGAAAGAAAATAATAGTTTCACTAGTTTTTTAATACATTAGCAGTAAGGATGATCAATTATGAACAGTACTCTTAAGAGAGAAAAATCACCAAACAGCATTCAAGTTGTCTGGTACCACAAAACACCTTAAAATGTAGCCACTCTATAAGAAAACCTATATGTATCTACCTATTTTTGCTAAGATAAATACAGAAGAATAAACCCAAAACTAATGAAATAGGTTACCTACCAATTGGTTACCTACCTACCAAGGGGGTGGAAAGATTGGGGGAATGAAATGCGATACAGGGGATGAGGGGGGAGTGACATTTTTCTGCATATGCCTTTTCATATAGTTCTGATTCTTAGAACTACGTTAATGTTTCACATAGCTTGTAAATAAATATTAATTAAAATCAACCTCTACATGTTGGGGGAACCCAAATGGAACACAAACAGATGAACTCAGCTATATTACAAATGAACAACAGAACCACACTAAAAGGGATAGAGAAGAAAAGATGTAACCTGAGTACTTTTGGAAATCAGTATTTTTGCTATATATTGTAAAGCCAAAGATGAAAAGAACTGTACCCAAACACTATAGTCTCGTTAGTGAATTTGTTTCTTACAGAGATTATGGGATCACAATTCTGAAACTTCTTTACAAGCATCCTAGAGTGGAGCAAACAAGCAAACACATTATGGATAATGAAAGCCAGGTTTCTCACTGTTGGAGAAAGGAGTTACAAATAAGGAAAAGGATAAGTCTAGAAAGAAACTAGTGGGGTTGGGTTGTAACTAGAAGTATCGGGATGAACTTATAGTTTTTAATAGATAAGTACAGATAGATAGATATAGATAGATGAAATAGATAGATTAGAGACACAGAGAGGCATTTATGTGTGTTTATACATTCACATATTTCCTAACTCTGTCAGCCGAGAGGTCCCAGAGGCAATGACATACCAGTAACAATGAGCATACCTAGCACCCAAATTTTGTTTTGAAATATCAATCTCCAATTAAAAGAGCTGGAGCTCTTGGGAGAAATGACCATTTCTAGGGATGGAGCAAAATGAACTTGGTACATTTTGTGGTGCCAAAGATTAACTAACAAAATGCTTTGAACAAATAATGGGGAATATGTCAAAGGATGCAAGTTTACCTAAGGGACTCCCAGTGGCCAAATCTGGGATAATTTGGTCAACAAAATAATTATAATAATCAATCATAATCTGCAAAATGAAATTAATATTCATGAGTCCACATTGATATAAACACTGAATAAATGGGGAGGAAGGAACAGCTCCTCCAGTGGAATTAATAAATGTAGAATGAATGATGGAAATAAAAGATGTCAGCATTTGGCAAACACCAAGTAATAACTGTTGCAGGCAAGAATTATCAATGGAATATAAAATTAGTGGGCAAGAAGTATGATGAGAAGCACAATATTTGCATAGTCTTAAAGCATCTCCTCCCCAGATACTTATTAATGCCAATGGGAAAATAGTGACTGCAGTGGAGAAACCTGGCAGACCTTAACTAAGTGACCAAAAGTGAGATGAACAGCAATGAGACATATCGACATCCTGTACCCTCACATAGACCGAGAAGGGTGTAGCATCTCTTCTGTGGTATTCTTGCCCAAAATGCACAAGTTAATTCTAATCATAACCAAACACCAGACAAACCTAACCTGGGGGACATTCTACAAAATTATTAGTCAGGACTCTCCAAGAGTATTAAGATCATAAAAGACAAAGACTACTTCAGAGGAGATATGACAACTAAACGGGGATCCTGGATCCCAAAAAAGATATTAGGAGGACAGTTGGCAAAATTGGAATAAATTCTTTAGATTGGTTAATAACATTGTATCAATGTCAATTGCTTGTTTCCATAATTGCACTATGGTAACCTACGATGGTAACATTTGAGGAAGCTGCAGAAAGGGTAAATGAAATCCAGTGTAGTATTTTCTAACTTTTTTTTAAGTCTCAAGTTATTTTAAAATAAAAAGTTAAATAAATAAATGTAGTCGCTGCCCTAAAGGAGTTGATCTGATAAAATATGGGCACGTTGAGTTATGGAAGAACACGGACACAACACCAAAGAGCTATTATACTCAATTAGAAATAATTGTGGTTTTATGATGTATTTGTGATATTATTATATTCTGAAATTGAAAATGTCATAACGTGATGCTTGTGGACTATGTATAGCCCATGAAGGGATAAAGCTGGAAGTAACCTGTAAAACTCTGTTTCACATTTGTTACAAACCTGAAGGCAGAAAAAGTATGTATTACTTATTATGAGGGACAGTGTAAAAGTTAGGAGACAGCACAATTTTGTGATTTTAAAGACAATCTGGTATTCTTCTCCAAATTACACTCACAGAAACAAAAATTTTTTAAAATAATAACCTGAAAGCCCATGTCTCAATAAACTATCTTTCTTAGAATTTCGACATTGATTAAAATGAAAAGATGGTTCCTAAGCATCAACTAAGAGAGAAATATTCCAATATCAATATTCTGTACAGAGTAGAATATGCCGGTGTTGGGCTTGTTCAGTCTCTGGACAGAAAGAAATTCTTATTTGAATAGTCAGGTCTCTACAAGTGGCAATAAGCATATAGACTCATGACTAGATGAAAAATTATATTTGGAAGTGATATTAACTTTGCTTTTCCATCAGTAATGGTCAGATTCTGTGAGGTCAACTCTGAATTCATCACCCATTTAAAAGCCTTTGGAGGGAAGAGGTCTGGCAGCACGTCTCCCCTCAGAGACCTGGTGAATTCTTCAGCAGACCCTCACCTTGCAAAGGACCCCTGACTATATAGTCAAGAATTAGCAAAATTAAAATTAACGCAAACTGTGTGTCAAGCACCTCAGTTAGCTTTTTTCCCACAACTACTTTCCCACTTCTATGTAACAGAAAACTGTCACTGGGTCATTTTCTTTACTCTGTGTGAGTAAAATCAATAGACTCAGGCACTTTACGGCTCTCACATTATTCTCAGTACATAGGCAATGCTCTCTTGGTGGCAAAAACAACCCCTAAGGTCTTAACAGGAAGTGAACTGATGTAAAGATTTAAAAATTGTATTCCAGATCCAGCACCAGGAGAAATAAGAAAACTCAGCTATATACATAAAATAGATTTTCAAAAACGAACCAAGAATTGAAGTTGCAAATAGAAAAATTTTGATGAATCTTTAATTCGTATTTATTGCAACTTAGAAACCTGAGATGAACATATGGGTTTCCAAAATTAGTCATTGTTTTTATGAAGAACTTGGCCCTTCACTGGACCTGATTTGAAAACCAATGAAAGTATACAAGGTTATCCAAGGACATTAACCATGGTGTTTTTTACTTGAAATCGAAAAAGAATACCAATCCTGCACAGACTTAGAGATGCCCCATCATCCGCATTTGCAAATCCACTGAGAACTGATACTACTTAGAAAATATCTGCATTATAGAAAGGGACGGTGAAAGAAAAACACTTCTACTTTACCTAATTTCTAATTGTCAGTAACTGGAATTGGGCATGACAGCCAACTGACATCTATCATTTGGCTAATTGTGAAACTTGATCGACCAGACCTGTCTGGCCCTGCCAGGTAGCTCCCTCCTCCATGACCATTCTAAGTATATGCTGACAAAGCTGGGCCCCAGAGAAGAAAAACAATCTTTTTCAAGGCTCCTGAAGCTGCATCCTTGGCAGAAATCACAAAACTATCTTCGATGTCTAGTTATAGGCAAACCTAGGGTAGTCGTGCTTCTAGTTATATCTCGTTCAGACGGCAAATTCCTTGTAGACACTGCGATCATTTCTTGGATAATTTTTATTTGAAATTGAGGTAAACTGACATTTCTATACAATTTTAGAATGTGTTATGATTTCTCACCATGTGTATGTATAGCTATAATTGCACAATATTACTTTTAATATATTCCATTGCAATGTATCACAGTTGCTTCAAATTATACACCAGCATAAGTCCAATTAGCTATATAATAAGTACTTCGTTTTCTCCTGCTTCTCACATGACTTCTTAATCCAAAGAAAACTGATATTTTATACTTTCATGTTCACAACAATATGTTATCTGTTAAGCAGAATTTTCATACTGATTAACCTTCATACTATGAAAGATAAAAACACAAAAGTTTGGCTAGAATTATTTAATAATATCACATTCTCTTAAAAATGTGTGTCCTTGATTACAGAATTTTCATTCTTTCATCTTAAAAGTTGTGGCAGAAAAGTGTACTAGGTTACCCAAGGATATGAGACAAAATATTTTTTATTTGAAACTGGAAGATAATACTAAAATTCATTCCTTCATTTGTTCATTCACTCAGCAAGTATTTACAGAAAACTCTATCAGGTACTGCGTTAGGCAGTGAGGATGCAGCAATGTTCTAGAAAAAAAATCTCTGCTATCGGGAGCACACATTCTAGCAGAACATAAACAAATAAATCAATAAGTGTGTGGCATAAAGCTGGAAAAGTTCTAAAAGGAAAATGAAAGGCAGGGCTAGAGCGTAAAATAGAACTTTCTGCAATGACGTATCTGTGTTGTCCAATATGATAACTAC